GCCCTCCAGCCTCAGCTCCACTAGCATCAGCTCCGGCGACACCTCCGACATCTCCATCGACATGGCCACGAGACCCGACAGGCCGCCCAGCGGCAGGCGCTCCACTCCCTTCTTCCCCACCATGAAGTAGCCGAGCTTGGCGCCAGCCTGCCCGAGCCGCTCCACCGTCTGCTCGGGCGACGCCGTGGTCATGAACCGCTTCTCGCGGCTGCGCCTGCTCTCGCGGAACAGCCCCGACAGGTCGAGCCCGGGGGACATGGAGATGATATCGAAGGCGTTCAGCGCCGGCGGGGCCTGGAACGCCAGCTCGCGCTCCGCCTGGCCGCCCAGCAGGCCCCCGAGCTGGGAGTCCACGCTGAGCGAGCGCTTGAACCAGGGGTGGCTCGCGAGCTCCGCGACGGCGAGGCGCGTCGCCGGGTTCGGGTCCAGCAGGCGGGCCACGAGGCGGCGCGCCGGCTGCGACACCCACCGCGGCACCGTGTACTCCCGGCGGTGCGCTTTGCGGCACATGTCGGCGATGTTGGCGTCGTCGAAGGGGAGGTGGCCCGCGAGGAGGACGAAGAGGATGACGCCGCAGGACCACGCGTCCGCCTTGGCGCCGTCGTAGGCCTTCCGGCGGAGCACCTCGGGCGCCGCGAACGCCGGGGTGCCGCACGCCGTGTGCAGGTGCCCGTCGTCGCGGAGCGAGTCCGGGAGCGCGGCCAGCCCGAAGTCGGACACCTTGAGGTTGCCGTTAGCGTCCAGGAGCACGTTCTGCGGCTTCACGTCGCGGTGGAACACCCCGCGCGCGTGGCTGTAGATGAGCGCCGACGCCAGCTGCAGGAACACGCGCCGCGCGGCGTGCTCGGGGAGCCTCCGCGACGGCAGGGAGGCGAGCCGGGACAGGAGGTCCCCGCCCGGGGCCAGCTCCATCACGAGGTACACCTTGGACCGCGTGGCCAGCACCTCGTGGAGGCGGAGCACGTTGGGGTGGCTCAGGCGCCGCATGGCGGAGACCTCGCGCAGGAGCCGCGACGCCATGCCCGCGGCGGCCAGCTCGGGCTTGTCGAGCACCTTCACGGCCACGGGGTCGCCCCCGGCGAGGCAGCGCGCGTGGTATACCTTGGCGAAGTTGCCTCGGCCGAGGAGGTGGCCGAGCTCGTACTTGCCGAGGAGCGGCGAGCCGGCCTTGGTGGACGACTTGCTCTTGGTGCAGGCCATGGCGCGCGGCACCAAGGCGACGGGCAGGGCAAGCCGCGTCTGTGGCTTTGGTGGTTTACAGGGGCTTGGCTTGGCGGTGCCAAGGTATATAAAAGGAGGGAGTGGTTGAGTCTTGTACGTTGTTTGTGTATGGCGCTCTTGTGCCTCTGCTAGTTCCTGTCATTGGCATTTTGTATTTATAGCTTCATCAAGTGATTGCATAATTTGATCCATGGTTCTACTAGTACTACCGCTACATTTTCGTTCATGACCTATTATTTCGAAGGTTTACATTCATGGGCTTTGATTTCAAGAAATGAAAAGGTTAAGAGGTGCCTTTTGTACCACGGCACGTTTTCAGGTTCCGAGAAATTCAATAACTCTCTCCAATCGGAAATATGTATTGTTTAGAAATTTTACCTGCAAATTTTGTGAAAAATATGACATCTGTAGTAAGAAAGATGTTGGTTGTCAACAGTTTTTTTTATTACGCTAATCTTGCGTTGTCATTTATCAGTCTAATTTATAATAGTGAATTAATAGCTACTATCTCCATTTTAAACTATACTAGGTCGTTTTAGTTATTGTCTTTTAAGTGAAATCTTCTAACTTTGATCAAGTAAATACATTATAAAGACATACTCCCCTCTACCTATAAAATAATAACATAATTATAGGATTTATGTAAATCAAAATAATTTAGTTTTGACCAGGTTTATAGAAAAATAGTATTACTATTTATAACTCCAACTAGTTTATTACGGAAATGTATTTCATAATTTATTTCATGGTAGTTATTTTTATCATAAATATTATTTTTTATGTAAATTTGATCAAACTTTAAATTATTTGACTTCTTAGAATTGCTTTATAGACGAGGGAGGTATGTTATAGTGAATTTAATGAAACTAACTGATGTTGTTTAAAAAAATTACTATAGATTTGGTTAAACATAGACAAACCTAAGGCATGACAAATATAAAATCTACGTTAAGAGTAACGTGGAAAAATCTGTCCGTTACGAGATTTTTAGCGATGCTATGGAAGTTGTGTAACAAGTGTGGAAATCCTTGAATGTTTATGCATTTCGCAAGGTAGAATTGTGTAAGATACGTTGAAGCGTGTCAACCAGGCAACAAAAAAAAAAGGAATTAAAAAAAAGGATAGGCTAGCGTCCAGACATCCGGCCCTAGGCCCGTATCTAGACGCAGCTCCCCGCATCCCGCGCCTACTCTGTGCGCACGCCCTGCCCACTCGGGTTCCGCGTCACTCGAACGACTCGCCCCATCCACGCCGGCCCACGCCGCCCGAACATCACCAGCATGAAGAAGAGGTGGAGACACCGAGGCGAGGCAGCAGAAGGTGAGAAAGAAGATGCAACATCCGATCTACTTTTAAAACATCCAAATGAAACATTTGAAATATACGTTCGAAACAGTTAAAATATTTGCAGCATACGTATAAAACACTTGTAAAAACACCTGAAAACGCTTGAAAAAATCATTGCAAAATATATGCTACATCCAATTAAAACACACATGCAAACATACGTCTGAAAAACAGATGAAACATTTAGAACATACGCTTGCAATATACGTGTACAACTATTGCAACATATGCATGATCCCGATCTAGTTTTGCAACATCCATATGAAACACTCAATATACCTATGAAACATCTGAAACACTTGAAATATACACATCCAACATGCGTTTTTCACCTATCTTCTTCCGCACGACGTAGAGTAGAGCGGGGAACGGTCGGTTCTGGCCGGCGGCCAAGGATGGTGGCACGACATGGCAGCGCCCAACTGTGCCTGGCATGGTCTAGCCACTCTGGATCTCTCATGTTGCGAACTGAGGATGAGCGTCGTAGAGGCGCCAGCGTTGAAGCGGCCACGACCTTCTGGTGGGGAATGACGGCGTCGGCAGCACCTCGGCACCACATCGACGTGTGGGGGACGGGGCACGGGGCTCAGCTGCGGGGCATGGGGCACGGGGCATAGGTCGTGGGGATGAGGCACAGCACGACATGGGATGGGCACAGCGAGGTGGAGCGTGCGCGGAGGGGAGGAGGCGCCGTGGAGCCACGACGCGAAGCGAAGCGAGTGGAAATTGAGGATTTCCGTTTTTTAGAAGACGAGGATTTATGGGGAACAGACCCGTTGCCTGTGGGACCCGTACTGCATAGGTCTGGAGACAGAGGTGTCGTTCGGCTGGTGCAAAAACTAGCCGGAATTTCACTGTTCACGGCAAAAGTACTGTTCACGGCTGATTTTCTTTAATAAATTTCTCCAGATTCCTCCAAACGAACGGAACCAGAGCGTCCAGACGGACACGCTTGGCCGGACGCCCTCAACAGAGTATTAGTTGGCGATTCAAAAAGGACAAGGAACTTGGTTGCCAGGATGGAATCTGAGATTTTTTTTCTTCTTCTCCAGCACAGCACAGCGCGGAGCTGATCTGCCCTGTTCGTTTAGGTTAGTTTGGCTTATAAGCCATGGCTGAAAGTACTGTTGGTTGGTTTGGTGTGAGAGAAAAATATTGTTCGTTGGCTGATAAGTCATGGCTGAAAGTACTGTTGGCTGGTTTGGTCTGAGAGAAAAATATTATTCGCTACCTGATAAGTCATGACTTATAAGCTAAATACGACGAAACGAACGTGCTGATCTATTTGCTGTGCGTTTCTGATCAGGTACAGAGCCTGCTACTAGGACGTGTCGTGCCGCGGATACATGCAGCCTGTTCGTTGGCTCGTAAACGATCGTAAATTTCTAGTTGGAAACAGTATTTTTCTCTCACACCAAACCAGCCAGCAGTAAATAATCCACGATACGATACGGCCTCCCGAACGGTGATGGAATCTCATGGGGGAGAGCGGAAGAGAAAAAGAAAGGAAAGACGAGAAGAGTTTGCTTACGCCTTGTTTAGTTCTACCCTAAATTTTAAAAAGTTGCTATAGTATTTGTCACATCGAATGCTTGTGGCCTGTGTATGGAGCATTAAATGTAGACGAAAAAAAAACTAATTGCACAGTTTGGTGGGAAATTGCGAGACGAATGTTTTGAGCCTAATTAGTACATGTTTGAACACTATTTATCAAATAAAAACAAAGATGCTACAACCAAAATCCAAATTTCGCGAACTAAACATGGGCTTACCCTCTAAAACCTGGCCCTTTGATGCTTGGGAGGGCCAGCACGGCAGGACGCAGCATCCGATTCCCACCAGCCACCAGCACCAGGTTGCACTTGGATCCTGGATCTGGATGGCGCTTGACTACTTGATGCCGTCGTCCGGCCCGGCCGCTTTGCGCTGGCCCCACAAACGCTGGGAGGGAGGGAGAGAGAGACAGAGCATCCATCCGGCCGTGGCGCCGACTTGAGAGTGGGGTCCACGGTTTGCCACGTCTAAGGTTGACGTTTGCCATACATGTGGCAAAGTTAGATCGTTTGGCTCATTAGTAAGACGTGGCAAAAAATACATGGCTATTGTTTGGATGGCTGTCAAAAATATTTGATACGTGATCTTTGGACTGTGGATGGCTGCAAAAATTACATAGGCGAAAACAGTGGATTGAGAAATATATGAATTTTTTTGGAATGGATATGGATTAGTGTTGAAAAAGTACACAAAATAGCAGTGTGGACAAATTTAATCATAGTGCTAAGCATACAAAATTAATCGTAGTGCTAAGCATACGCTTAGCCCTCGGATAAATCACCCCATAGAATAAAGAAATAGATCAACACTAGGAAGCTACCGGATTCTTCACGGAGAAAGCTGAAAGCCACTGACATGTGAGCCCGCAGTACACGATCTTATCCATTCCCCATTATTTTAGGCAGCAGATGCGGCTTTTGAGGCTTGATGAAGCCATGGCCCTCCTCTCCATCCGCCATGGGCGCACCAGTAGAGCTCAAGCAGGAGTCCAGTTCTACCCCCATCACGCTCACAAATGTCGCCGGTGCGCCTTCGACTCCGCCAAGCCGCATCTTCGACTCCTCCGAGCGCGCCTCGTCGTCGTCTCCGTCTTCGACTCCGCCGCTGGACGCGGTGGCATGGTGAGTTGGGCCCGTGCAGACGGTGGCCGTCGCGGACGAGCTCATGGTGGAAGAGGCAGGGCATAGCAGGAGGAGTGGCAGGAGAGAAGTGTGGCGGAGGCGGAGGAAAAGCCCGCCACACTTCGACGCAGAAAAATTATGGCGAGTGTTTCTCAGAAGCGTGGCGAGCCGTAGTTGAATCACGAACCAAACACTTGCCTAACCAACCATGGTGAGCCTCAACCTAGACGCCCGCCCAGACGCGGGAGCGGGACTCCAGGTCCAGGCAATGAGGCAACCTGGCGGGCAGACGCGGAAAGGTGGGGTGGGCCGTGGGGGAGAGGGAGACGTGCAAAATATCGGCGGAAGGTCCAGGCCCCAGCTTTTTGGGGAAAACCTGGCGGGCAAACGCGGAAAGTCTTATTTGGCGAATATTGTTCAATCGTTGGGGAGGCTCAAAAGATTCATCTCGTGATTTTCAACTAAAAAAGTTATTTTTTTCGGCATTTAACCGGCGGCTAAAAATTGAAGGCCCCAGAAAAAACTTAAAATTTGGATGGCATCTAAACAAGGCCCTAGCGCGGCGCGTGTGGCGGCGGGGCTGCCTCCCGTCGTGCTCCAGCCTTCAGGTCCAGGGTGGCGTTGGCGTACATCAGATGTCAACAGCGGCGGTGTTGGTGTTGCCGTCCCCGGCGGCAACAGGAACATTCACGATAGTGCCAGGAGTGGCCTAGATAAAAACCGCTCGCCTCGGGCGCCAAACACTACTGTAAAATGTGGTACACGCACTCATCACGCGCACTTATATGCTATATAAGCTGGCAGATCAGTATACATCACTATATATCAGATTCAGTACTCAGTAGTCACTGGCCCTGTTCGCTTAAACTTCAGCAGTATTTTTTAACGAACAAATAATGTTTTTCTCTCATAACAAATCAAGTCAAATTTCAGTGAAACGAACAGGGCCACGGCGCCAGCGCCAAGAGCTCAGTTTGCTCAGTGTTACTTTACTCGTTTATTTACCACATGAGACATGAATTCCCCAAGGATAGTCTTTCTTTTTCTCCCTGATGGAGATGGAGACGCTTTATCTGCAGTTAACTTGTACAGTACTAGTATTTAACTATTTATTTAGTTCCACCATATGCTTAGTTAACAAAACTTGGCACTGTGAAACAAAGACATGACAAACTAGTACCTGTGGTACTAGACTAAGACTAGTGATTCACGGTCCACTTGGAACGTTCATGCTTGCTGCTTCTGCTTTCACATACAGGTCCGGTTCCATACTTCCATTTAGTCAAATTCCAAATACAGTAGGTACTTGGCTAGCTAAAACCGAATGTCCTTGTCCAGTTGCTGTTCATACAATGACGTTTGCGGCGGCCGGCACAGCCGGGCCGGCCGGGCGCCTTGTACCTTGCCTTTGCTGACGACCTCCGGTCGCTGTTGGATTGGAACCGGTACGGTGGAACGAAATCAAGGGCATATGTATTCAGTTCCATTTCCAGGGTCATGAAAATTGTATATGATTCTAGTAATTTATTGGCAAGGTATATACATGCAACTTCTGTATGTGTTCCGAAATCGCGGGGGTGGCTATCTCATTACACATGAACTAGCTTGTCAATGGTCACTAGTCACTGATGGCTAGTAGCTCATTTTGACTCACGCGTTAACTGTTAGATTGAAACCCGTACGGTGTTTACGAAATCACCCCAAAATATGTATTCAGTTCCATTTCAGGGTCACATCGTGAAAATTGTATATGATTCTAGTAATTTATTGGCAAGGTATATACATGCAACTTCTGTATGTGTTCCGAAATCGCGGGGGTGGCTATCTCATTACACATGAACTAGCTTGTCAATGGTCACTAGTCACTGATGGCTAGTAGCTCATTTTGACTCACGCGTTAACTGTTAGGCCGACGAAAATTAATTAGCGCGCGTGGGGGTATAGGTTTACGCGCATATGCAGCTGCAGCTGCACGCGCACGCCGCGCCACAGCTAGCCCACGGGGGTGCCAGCGGACGGCCTGGAGGAGACGATTCGATCGTGCCGTGCGTGTCGCGCCGACGCGCCGACGGTTACGGCAAGTAGCCTCGTCGAGTAGTAGTGGCAAGTGGGAACTGCCGCCTTCAATTCCTTGTGTCCATCATACAAACATTGCTGAGCATATGCAGATTCCGTGTTTATCTTTAGGATTCTATTCTATATGTATACGCTTTAACCCTTACGAGTCTTATGCATCCTCACTTCTGCGGGTGTGTGTAGTGTATATATGCCCATGCACGTTCCAAATCACCTGCAAAATAAAATTGTGTATCCCCCACCCCACACCACTTACTACTATGCAACCTGCACTTCTCAGAAATTTCTCCTTTTTTCCAAATAAAAAATAAATCTTTCTCTAGAAAGGGAGAAGAATGCCCCCAATCTTGTATATATGTTTTTTTTAAGAAAAACAACATAAAAAGGACATATACAACAGGGAGTATTATATAGCACCTAGCTCGCCCATTTATTTATACATGTGAATAGAAAGTTCTTAGTGGCGGAACCAGAACTTTTGATCAAGGGGGGCTAGACAATACGATGACACATCATAGATATGATAAATACATACAACAAGTGTATGTCTCAATAGCTTTTCAATATTTTTACATATATATTTAGTACTCATAGCAAAAGAACACAATATTATCTTAAAAATGGTGAAATAATGATTTTTTGCGCTATGCAATTGATTTTTTATAGGTATTAAACATTTTTCACCGTGCTTTGTGGGGGGGGGCTGCCTGCTGCCCCCCTGGTTCAGCCTGTGAAAGTTCTATGCCTCTATGGTTTCTCTATACACCAGAAACTTCAAAATCTCTGTTTCACATGTTTTTTGTTGAGCCAAAACACTTTGGGGGAAGATAAGCAACTACTTTCAACATAAAAAAAAAAGATGATCAAGAGTACATTTGGTGCAAGAAATGAAAATATTCACCAAGCATGGGTGGTCGTCGGTAATCCTTTTGTTTGGTTTGGTTTTTTCAGAGTTTTCTTAAAAACAGCTAGAGGCTGTAAGTGTAATAAGGATTAAAACTTCCTTTTTTTCCCCTAAAAATTAGGCTAATGTATAAGTAGAAAATGTTCAAGAAGTTTTTCGTGGAATTTGTTCTTGATGAAACACAGATTTTCGAAAGGGTTTATTTATTACTCTAAAGAAACCTAATATGCATGTTTTTTTCTTTCAAACACCCAACACTTTGTGAAAGAGGTCAACAGCATCTAGTATTCTAGTACGTACGAACATACAGTTCTTTCAGACTTACAGTGGTGGAAATATCTTTCAAACACTCGACAGAGTCACAGAGGTAGGAAGAATCCCCGAAAAAGAAGAAAAAATTAAAACACCGAGTTAATTAATTTGTTTAAGACGTTTAGCATGTTTCATTATGTTATGTATAAATGTGTACGAGAAATCTTTTAAAATAAACATTGTGTAAACAGAAAATGTCCGAGAGACCTTGTGTTGAAGATATTCTTCTAACCGACAGCTCCTCCAGGAAGAGATTTTGTATGGGTCGGAATAAAACTCTCAAGGAGATGCAAGTATGTCCTTCCAAAATATGAACTGAAAGCCGAAGCTTTTCACCTGTGCCGATCATCCTGGGGATACTACAACCGTTTCTTGTAGTTTTTCTAAACAAAGAAGGTACTTACTTCTTTCATGCAACTTTAGGTCTTAGTAAACAATACAGCAGGCCAATGCAAGTAACTGTTGCACTACCAGGAAAGGTGACCTGAACCACATGAACATGAGAAGCAAAGTGGCACACAGACGTAACACACAGCCAAAAGATCTCGCACTAGCTGAGACTAATTAAACAATCGAATAGTATTCATCTTTTTTGCCCATCTAACCCATCTAACGCATGTATTATTGCAAACAAATGAACCCATGCTATTCACAGGAGTATTTTTTTTATTTAAAAACTTTAGTCTAGGCAATGAATTCCATCACGAGCATTGTTAGCAATCATTGAGAACTACACGAAGTCTACTTTGCCATGACACCTTTGCATGGTCCATTGACATATATACATTTGATGCTCTTGGATGCCCTTCTCTTATGTATATATATATATATATGGATACAACATACTAAAACAGATTAGAGTATTGAAATACGTGTCGCAAGGACACATTCACGAAAAAATAAAACAGACGGGAGACTATAGATATTTCTGGCGAAGAATCTTGCCATAGGTTTAATTTCAAGGTTGATAGATATTCTCTAGCTCCAGCGCTACTACTACTATGGGTCTGTTTGGTAGAACTCCATCTGATTCTGATTCTATAAGGAAGCTGATTCTCTGAGAAAGTGATTCTGTAGCTGAAAGTGATTCTCTTTGATTCTTTAGCATAAACTATTGAAATCATGATGGAGAATCATTTCACAAAATTAGGAGAAGTTATTTTTTCAGCTCTCAACCTCCTAATTCATTTTAGAGAATCACTTCACGAAATCAGCAGAGAATCACTTCTCTGGAAAAACTGTTTGGCAGAGCTTCTGCTCTGGGAGCTCTGCCAAACGGGCCAATGCTGCGTTGGCCAGTGTGCATGTATATCTTCTCTTCTGCTTTGAGAGACTTCAAAGTGAAGTAAATTATGCCTGCATCTATCATCCTCTTACATCCTTTTTGGCCCATCGATCGCAATCTGCTTTTGAACAACTAGATCATGGACTGCTCCAAGCAACTCCAGCTAGCATTTCACAACCACACGTATAGCTTTTTGTGCAAATGCAACTAAAATTATCTCGGTCATATTATTCCTTTCATAATTATCAGGGGATACTAATTAATTCATTTCAAAGAGTGAAACAAATATTCCTTTGGACCAAAAGTAAATCAACTAAAAAAGCAAGTCTGGTTTCGATCGAATATAATTCAGTGGATCAGAGGATGTCAGTCATCAAAATAGTGGCAGGGAGTTCGAAATATTGACCAACAACAAGGATCGAATGAGAGCTTTGGCATATCATGCTATATGTCTAATGGATCATTTTG